TCCTGTAGTAATAGTAACAAGCTTCTTTAAAACTCGTTTTATGACGCTGGTAACCTTCTGGGAGGCATTCAAGGACTCCTTCTGCAAAAAAACAACTTCGTCCAAGAAGAACCACCGTCCTTTAAACTGGTCTACCGACTATCTTTAGGCTAACAAAGTCCTCATCTTCACTGCGCGAATAGCAGTTTTATTCAAGGAATCCTACTTTGCCTTACCAGTAGGATAAAAGAATCGCGAAACGTGCCTCTACTACCGCTTTAAACTATATTTCGGCGGCTGGCGAATAAAAATAAAGTGCCGGAAACTCCCCACTTAATGTCACTGATGGAGCTAGCAAGCTGCTGGTGACATTTTGAAACGAAATGCATCACAGAAAAAAAAACGAACTGACCTGATTTTAATGAGTTTGGCAGTAAATCGAAAAAGTAGTTAGTGTAATAGTTCATATATCTGCCCTCCTTTATCGACACATGGTTTGGGGCTCGAAGTTTCCCCCTGAAAATGTTGTTTATAGGTTGTGCTTGCCATAAGTAAACATCAAAGTGGATGTCCCTGCAATCGATTTCACTCAGAGTTGCTATTACTATAGACATCACGTAACCGAATAGCCCGAGAATGACTTGGTACAGTTCTAGCTACTTGTAATAAAAGAGCTCAACTTGATAAAAATCGGTTTGGACAAAAAGGACAGCACAGAAGCCTTTCACATCGCGTAGGCCTGGAAAGAAAAGGAAGCCCACACAGCGTAGAAAAAAAACGCCAAAAAGGAAATGGGCACTTGCCAAAAAAGAAGAGTTACCTCTTCACCCTGCGCAGTGGCGATCCGACTTCGGCCCATGCAAGATCTTCCTTCCGTTGTTGTTCTTCGAGGTCTTGTTCCTGCTGTTGCTGCTCCAAACTTGCTGCCACCCGGCTGTCCATCGTCGGCACTACTCTGCGTCCCTGTGGCCGTTGTCCGAACTCTCGCCTCTCTGCACTCTGCCCCTTTTGGCCGCCGAGGCGGCGGGCGGCGAGAGGCCACGCCCTCGCTTCACACATTTCCTCCCCTCTCAACTATGGTTGGAGGATACCGTATAGGAATGCATTTTCTGGCCACTGCGCTGCGATTTTTGGAGCCAAGGTAATCGAAGTGTGTGTTGCGGTGATTTCAGTTCGTTTTTGTTCAACCGTGTGTGTGCAAGGATGATATATGGGAACTACCAGGTGTGGGAAGACCATAAATGGTTTTGGTGGGGGAATTGGGTAACCCTTGCGCCGAGTTATCGAAAAACAGTGACCTGAATAAGTGGCAGCTTCGTTCAACATCGCTTTTTGGGCACCCCATCTGGGCCTTCCGCATGGGTGAGCTTCATGCATCTGTGAAATGCGTATATTGCACGGGTTATATCACTTATTTGCTATGAGAAGGATACCTACGCCAAGCTCTGCCTTACAGGATATTTACTTGCCTCCCACATTTTCCTTTACCGGTACTTTCGGGTTTGCTTGTTTGTACGGGTTACCAAAGTCCCAGATGGTATCGCCTTGGAGTAGAACCTTTTCTTGGCCATGAGGGAGGGAGACCTCAGTGGTGTCGCCTTTCGAGAAGCCTTGGGTTGCCCAGAGAGGGGGGGGATGCTCCGATTGTTGTGGATTACCTCTGCAACTTATATTGCTTGAATGGACCTCAAAAGAAGAGCGAGAAAATGGGCATGGGTTAGCACGTCAAGGGTTTCTCAGCTCCCTCCTTCCCACCTCCCCTTCAGTCTTCACAGGGAACGTAAACCTCACTTGCTGTCTTATGGTTAGCTCGCAGTCTCCCCTGGTCTCCTAGTTGTTTCCTAGCTGCCCATCCCTTGAAAAAGTCGAAAATGACCCCTTACTGGCATTTCCCGTATAGTAAAATTGCTTCCTTCCTATCCACTTTTCCTGCCCGTTCTGCACCACCAGTTGGCGAAAACGTCTGAGAAAATTCAGGTTAGACGACGATTTCGTGGATCGGCTGCACTACCTCTACACCTCCACTTTGATACTGATGTTTGCTGTATTAGTATCTGCCAAGCAATACGGTAAGTACTACTCGTTTTACACTTCCCCTCTTCTTCTTGAGGTCCTTTTCGTAATTTTCGAGGTCCTTTTTCACTATTTGAGCTCATTCTGGTGGTTGTCTGTGAGTACATCAATCATGATCATTTCCGAGGATTCTTACTTACTGACCGGTCTTACCCATGCGCTGTGTTGCCTTTGTTGCTAGGTCCTTCTCTAGGGCTGATTGGGCTCGTACGGATTCTAAAAGAGCGTTCCCACATCAAGAGATGATGGCTAGAGCGAACGACTGTCATGTTCATCGTGTTTCGTGCTGTCGTAATACTAAGCAGGCGAACGTCTGCAGTGGCTGTTCAAAGTGCACACGTTTCCTGGGACGTATATAGTGACACTTCGCTCAGTCATCAACTTTGCCAACTGAACGCCAATGCATTGAATTCTCTGCAGAGCACTGAAAGCTAATAGCCGTTTGTCACCACTAATCGCTTTCTTTGCTGTTCAGCCATTGCACTGCCACTTCAAATGTACCCATCAGATGACGTTGGTGTTCATTCAGGGCTAGAAGTGAGTCTAGAGTTGGAATTGGGATCGATTCGACTTGAAGGAAAGAAATACCTCTCACGGATTACGTGGTCGGCGATTTTTCCTCGGTTTTTGTGTAACAACAACCGCGCCGACACCGATAGAAGACGGAGAACTGAGGGCCAGCAGAGAGCTGTGCAAATCGAAAACCACAACTGCATGAAACTCATCCTCCCTGCTTGAGTAGACAGCTGCCTTCGGCTGTCTCCAAAGTACATCGCAAGCTCGAGATCGCATTACATGATCTGGACCATCCCCCGATTAAAATGCGCAGAGAGCACGATCTGGCAGTATAACCTGATCTAGTTGCTGCTGAGGATCAACTAGGGTGGTAGCAGAGGACGTCTTGAAAATGTGGAAAGTTTCTCTGACATTCACCCCACCTTTTCTCTCTGTGAATCCTCCAAATTCCGCCAAGTAGAAGAAAAGAGATGGAGAGATCACGAAAAGATGGTGTATTCCATACCCGAGGGCAAAAAGGGGTGTACTTGTGACTGGGGTATGTGATAAGCAGGGTAGAGCATCGTTGTGTGAAACATATGGGGGGAGAGTCGTACTTGGCTGTTGGGGAGAAAGGTCGTTGTTGGGAAGGGGGGGGGGCTTATGTGACTTTGAGAGAAATTTGCCGCGTTGAAAAAAATTTTCCCGGTTGCTGATTTTCCGTGGTTTTGCCCACCCTCGCTCGACAGAAAGTTTTTGGGTGAAGAACTGGAAAATGTGAGAAATTGTAGGTTGGTGTTGTGGAAGGGGGGGGGTCGTCCCGAGACCCTCCTTCGAGGGTAGGGGTCGCACTGACACCACCATTTCCACATCACGATGCTCTACCCTGGTGACAAGACACTCGCAATATGCCGCGTTGGTGGATGTGGTGAACGACGCTGTGCCCGACGGACGAGTTGCCCTGCCTGGCCGTATGGAGCTGAGCCTGCAAGGGACGGGAATTTCTATACCGCCCGTCTGGATCTTGCCTTCGCTAAAATCATATGAGTTTCGCTGCCCCAGTCGACAAACAGAAGCACATCGTGAAGTGGTCGCGCGTCGCTGCACGATACGCTACAGGCGCCGACCCAACAAACTACGATTGTCTTGTCCCCATACCCGTATTCCCGCGCAGACTCTCCTGTACGTACTTCTCTGCCTTTTTTCGTTTGGACCCTCAAAGTTGACACACTCGCAGCTGTGTCCCTTTATTGTCTGCATATAGTGGGTCAGGCTCTTTTCTGCCCTCAAGAATCGAAAAGAGAAGAAAATTAACGATGAAAAGATTCGCGCCAGGTCAAATGCTTATCATTTATCCAGTGATAGGGTGAGACCTCCTTGTTTCAGTTCCCACAGCTAAGATGTGCAGCGCATTCTGAGGACTAGGCGATGTGCAGCTAAACCTCCTGCTAGGTCGTAAATTAGCGTCTGCACTGAATAAATCACAAGTGACATTAACGCCGCAATCTCGCACTTGAGCCAAGGAAACCTTCAACTTCCTGGCCAAGTACATACGCAGCTAATCGTGAGGAACCCGTGCCTCCCATTACTTCGCATGAAAGATCGGAAAGCACGAAGTTTTCATATATACTCGAGATCCCTGAGGTCGGGTAGGCGTGGCTGCATTCTTCAACTTAGTCTGAAGGTGTCTCTGCTTCTGGTAGAATATTTCCATCTTGAACTGTTGTCGTGTCTCTGTCCAGCAAGATGACAGTTGTCCCAGACTGGAATATTCCACGAGTAACCAATTCCGTGTCATGCTTAAATGCCACGCCTACTCTGGCTCAGGGATAAGGAGTGTAGTTGGTCTAATGATGGCTAGGATAGTTATGTGTTGAATGGCGTAAATTTTGTGCTTTGGATAGGATTTCACAGACATCAACTGATTTCGAAAGCTTTCAACGTCGCTTTTTCTCGTGTACGCCATTACTGACCATCTGTTGTCGGAGTTTTTCCAATCGCTGCCACAGATCCGGCACTTTGCACACTTCACAGCTATTACTCGGCTCACTGGTCGTAAAGTTGTGGCCGCGGACCGCTCTATTTCCGAGATTAGTGTGTAAGGAAATGGGCATCAAACAAGTGCAAGGTATTTGCAAGGGAGCGTGACGAAATAAGTCCCACTGTGCTCGTTCAAACGACCATCCGAATGCTTGCAGATATCACACGCTTGCAAGTGGTCAATCGAGGGGGGGGGGCGGAGGGATAGGGGGGGGGATCAAGGAAATCATTCTTTTTTATGGAGCACGCCACGAAGTCTATATCGCATAAGGTGACAAGGGACATGTGCCTACTACGGTTGCAGTCAGTCGAGGCGGTGTCAGAGAGAGGGGGAAGAACCCGCCCCTAGCTTTCTACGAATAGCGATCGGCTCTTGATCGACTCAGTGGTAGAAAACATCGTGGGTGGTGGATCCTTCCATGCCTCTTGACACCGCCCCGACTAAGTGAGATGATATCAGCTTTAGAAGACAATTTCAGTGAGGTTCCTCTGTGAGAAGGAGCAGGTCCGCTTTAATCATTATCGCCGATGAGATCAGAAGGCCTAAAATACGACCGTCAGCCAGAAGCAGCTGTGCAATTTTCACGATCGACTTGGTCGTGGAAAGATACACTGGGGTTGTGATTTGAAAAACACCAGCCAAACAGCTGTTTGGACTTCATCACAATTTCCTATTATTGGGTGGTCAGCCCCCGGACGTCAGGACTCTGAGAAGGCGAAGAAGCCTATACGTAAGCCTAACGTGCTAGTGAACTTTCACCAACCTCGGAAGGCTCAGTAAAGACTATTCGTGCTGCTTGGATGACGACACTTTGGTTCTGCTCCTCATGACTCGACCTCTTGATCCGTAAAACACATCTGGATGTCGGTTTGGAGGAATACGAGGTCCATTAGGATTGGAAGGAGTGTCCGTTGTAAATTTCTAGAGTGTCCATTTATCCCGTCATTCAGACTGTGCGTTCCATGCGCCAGGTGTCTTTATTAATGGGATCTTCTGTGGGAGCAGTGGGGCTTCTTCTGGGGAGCAGTGGGGCTTGGTAGGGGCATCGGATGGTTCACAGGCATGGTATGAGTAGGAACTTGTAAATTTTGTGAAAACTTGTAAATTTCTGTAACCTGTCTAGCACTCACTATCTTGCAGCTTTATAGCACTTTGCATTCTAATGTGAACTAACAGAAGAATCCACCAAAAGTGCGGAATGCCCCTTCCAAGCCCAACAGTGCCCTTTTATGTCATCGGGATTATGTGAAGGTGTCTATCCCGGCTGTTATCAAGTAGTTCGTGTCATGATTTTTTATTCATGACCATGTTTCTGGTTACCAGCGTGTTCCGATCAACACCAGGTGCTACTTTGAATTCAATAGTTGGAGTTTCTAAAGATCGAAACCTTCAAGTGTCGAAATCCGCAACGTTCCGCATGTTTCTGCTGCTGAATGTTTTAACTGCCGAGTGTTGGCTAAGTGCCGCGGTTAATCACCTTAATTGCTTCTGAAAAAAATACCGAAACGATTGCTGAATAATTCCGAACACATGCTCGCGAGAACGTGTTTTTGTTGGTTCTTGGGAATCCATAGAGGAGTTGTGATCGCCTTGTGAATGTTCAGAGAGTTCCGGAATCTCAGCGAACTTCCTAAAATTATCAGCGAAATTTGGGTTAATTTTCTGGAAGTTTTATGAGAATAGCGAAGCTTCCAGGGGCTCCACCCTTCCCTAATGAAATTATCCACTTGGTCATGAACCACGTCATTAACATTCCAGACCCCGGTGATGGAGGGGAGGGAGGGGGGGGGGGAACTGCGTACTTTATTTGAATGTGGCTACAGCTGCTCTTCTAGCGAAACATTCTCGTTTGGTTCAAAGGCGTAGAGCACGATAAATTGGTACTCGGTCTAGGGTGGTGGCAGGGTTACTATATAATGCGGAAAATGGCGAAAAACGGAGGAAACAGTTGGAAACCTGGAGAGGGAACTATGTTTCTACACGAGAGCAACTTTGGACGAGTTTCCCACTGGCTTTGTGCCAATCACCTATACGCTAGATATGGCAGCACGTATGTATTCGTATATCGATGCCGCACCGTAGATGCTTCATATTAATCCCTTCCCTCCATATTGTACTTCGCAAATGAAGCGATACGAGCATCAGGTACAGTCGTCCATTTGTGGGCGGGCGGTGCGGTAGGCGTCCGGGTCGGTATGTTGCAGCTTGATAGGGCGTTACAAGGGTAGCCTCCTTGAAAATGGCGCCACGCAGCTGCTGCTCAGGAGAGCTGAATTATGTTCAGCTGTGCATATTAATTCTATACGGCTTGTGGATTTATCGTGCCACTTGCCTTTAATTGCAATCACGTTTTTGCTAGTCGCAAGACAAGATGACTGTTGCCTTGAATGGAAATGTCACACGAAAAATGCATGTTCGAATGATGAATCTATGCAGCCATACCTTCCTTATCTCCGGGTGCTCAAAACAAATGGGGACAAGTCCGCTTTGGCAGTTGAAGGACTAAAAAACTGGTATTAACATAATGCTAAGTCATTTTTTCGCCCAAAAAGACAGTTTCACCTCCCACGAAGTGTCTTATACCAAGGCTTAGGCAAGAATCCTCATCTCCATTATGATAGTCTCGTTTTTGCACTAGAAATCCTCCTGATGCCCTTTCCTAGCGCACTAGTACTCGTTTTTATTTTGGTGAAAATCCCTAATCGCATCGTTTTAATTTGCATTTTTCAGTCGGACACCCAATAGAATGTTTCGTACCGGCGCAATTCACCCGAGCAATGGAGCAGTATACAGAGAACTACTGCTGGGTTCAAAACACCTACTGGATTCCTTTTCAGGTAAATATGTTCCCCAGTTTGCTTCGGGTAGTTCCTAACGTGAAGTTTATGTCATTGCTTCTGTCGTTTTATACGTATACTTTGTTTGATTCCGCTAGTCTAATCTCATAGGACCAGGGTTTATATATACACGCCTTCATGTGGGCATAATTTCTGAGATTTTCTTGCGCGACGCGGATCAACTAATGGAGTCAGCTTGGCAGTCTTGCAGGTTCAGCCCTCCAGCCGCTCAAAAAATCAAACAGGTGGCACTGATCTTCGTGACGTGCATAATGAAAGTACAAGGCTGATCCATCCTACTCCTCAGTAAACGGGTAGGAGGAGTGAAAATCTGTTGAAAAATGGGAAAGGAATGAGGAGCACAACCATTCAGCCCGGAAACATCTTGAGTCACACAAACAATCAACCCTCTGCGCTAAAACACCACAATTCTCCAAATTTGCTGCAATCTTGTCGCTCAGGGCACGCTATCGTGTGGTGATCACAACGGGGGGGGGGGGGGGTCGTATTTCACCGCGAGGGAGGAGGTGGGTCGAATTTGGTCCGAGAAAGATTTTTTTGCTAGTTGATTTCTCTTGTTTCACGGACGTCATAAAGGGGGGCCGTGTGGTCGCTGTTAAGATAGGGACTGCCAAAGATCTATACAAGTTCGATAGTCCGATAGTTGAAAATGATAGATAGCTTGAATCCTGACGACCTCTCCCTCCTCCGCTCGACAGCAAAATTTTGGAATTTTGGGGAAAACCAGAAGGAAATTTTGGATAAACTGGTACGAGGTTAGGGAAAGTCTGACAAATTTTCCTGTTTCATACTAGGTATATACCCTCCCTTCCCCCGAAGCCCACCTCCGACGGAAAGTTCGGCTGAAAAGCTGGAAATTTTTTCTGGAAAAAAATGGAAAAAGTAGTAGGAAGTTTGGAAAATCTAGGAAAGTGGTTGGTAGCATAGGGAGGAGGGGGTCTTATTTGAGGATAGAATTAGGGGGGGTCGCATTTTCCAGGACATGATCACAACGCGATGGCGTGTCCTGTTGTCGCTAGAGATGGTTTGACCGCCTGAGCACGACTCTTGCGCTGCTTGCACGGAAAGCTCTGGCGTCCGCATAGCGGGCATTAGCTCCAAGATACATTCCCTATCCCTGAAACGGAGTAGGCGTGGCATTGAACATTTCATAGAATGGTTACTCGTGGAATACGATGCAGCCACGCTATATGTATGTAAGTATGCTACCATTTCGAGCGTAGGTCTGCAGCGTCGACGAAGAAGCATTGTAAGAGCTAGGTGTTTTCTGAATGACACACGCATGATGTCCTTGTTCGAGAGTTCAAATTACTACTGGGGGGAGACTTTTTGCTTGAGAAGGTCTTAAGCAATAACCCGGCATCTTAAACTTTGAAGACTTTGGTGTAAGGTGCATGATGCTTTGTAATCAATCTTCAGTGTTAAGTTAAGAAAATCTCCGGCGATCGATCTACTGTTAGCCGCAACTCCGCTTCAAATTACAGTCTCAGCTCACACTGCCACATCTCTCAGCATTTCACGGTCAGTCACTCATCTGATGCTCGCACGCCGAAATGAGACCTTTCCCGGCATAAGCATAATCTGGTCCACGTTGAACGCTGGGAAATCATCAATGGAGGGTTGCTTCGGCCTTGAGAAACGTTTCCACAATCAGGCGCTCAGAAAGAATGTCTTCACGGCTTGAGGACAGCATTTGAGAAAAGCATAAGTGAAATTGGGGGGGGGGGGGGGTGTTTCTGAAAATTCCCTCACAACGCCAGGACGTGCCCTCAGTCGTACGTAGTGGGAGAGAACACATACATACAATCGTCAGTCGTCACCCGGGCAGTTGATTAGGCGGTCAAAGGGTCGCAGACGCGGCTGCGGCGCACCACGACTGCGATGATCAGCTGTTTCTAGCCTATTTAGCCTTTTTCTCCCTAGTTTTCACTGTTTTTGGCTGCTTTTCTTAAGGTTAGTTGTTCCTTGTCTTCACATGGTGAATTATTATTAAGATTTCTATAATTTTTGCGAGCAATGTGATAAACATTTAAACAAATACCAAAAGGAATCGCAAAAACACTTCATTGCAACAAAAAGAATCCTAGTTCTAATACACTGCACGAAGACAAAAAAACAACTTACTTTGGGGAAAAACGAATAATACAATAAAAATTAGGGAGCAAATTATACGCTGGAAACAGGCCTGATCGGATCGTGACGCGAACTATGATCGGAGATAATTATAATATTTTTTGTTTACAGCCATTTTCGAATTTTATTTTATTTGTTAGTTTATCATAATTCTGTGTTGATATTATTATCATTATTATTGTGATTATCACTTATTTATTCGTTATTGTTACATTATAACATTTGTACTATTCTCCAAAAAAATACGGCAATAAAAGAGCTCCTGTACTATGCTATAACAACTTACTACCTCATGTGACAAGCTCTCAAGACTCCAAGAAAAACGTCTTTTGAGGCTTCCTGGTCCGTCAGAAAATTTGGAAAATTAGTAGCCTCACAAAATTGTGGCTGCGAATCCTATGAGTTGCACACTCATAATCCTATTAGTTGTACACCCATAAGCTCCTAGTCTTCGTGCTTCTGTACTTATGGTTATCTCACTCATAAGGAGTCGGTTGTCCCCTTTCAATCGCCGCTGCAAAAAATGGGCCGCTTCTTACCGCTTTCCGGATCGCCCACAAATATGGACATCGGCGTTCCGTTCTAAGTCCGCGCGTGTAAAGGAAGGGTCACAAGACTCATACCCCGTCATAGCAAAAGTGGGAAGTTGTCTCCAATAGGTCATACAGCGGATGCGACGGAAACATCATAGTGACAGTAAGTGATAGTAGTTGGTTAGATCTAACGAGAAACCTCAGGAAAGGAGGATCACCGATCACTTTTCAAAGGCTCATTCCCATTACTACTTTAGTTCCCAGCACCTAATGCCGTTTGATAAATGGTGACCTGTAGAACCAAGCTGATTTCATTCTTCGAGTTTTTTTTTATAGGTGAAAATCAGATGACATCGTATGCATGAGTTCTCATTCTTATTCAAATTTGTCAATTAGACTTTGTTGTTTGATTCACGGAGCTGTTCCATGTTGCTTCATGTGCGTATGGTGCATGCAATAAATGATAAATAAATTTAAACCCATGGTTGCATCTCTAGTTAACTCTTGTAAACTTTATTACCGGATTCCAACACGCTGATTAAAAGCGCCTTTCATAATTGTTCCCCATTTTGGATGGCATCCAGAGTTTGCTTTAGTTGTCCAGGCATTTGTAATTTACAATCTTGATTTTTTTTTTGGAAATGGGTCGGTTATCCCTCTATGCATTACACGACATAGTTTTCGCAGGTCTTCAGCCTTCCGATGATCCTCGCAAGTCCTCTCAGCTTTTAGAAAGTTTTGCATTTCTTAATAGAATGCTTTTTTCTCCGGGAGTAGTGCGAATCAACGGATCGGCAATGAAGCTATAGTCCAGCCAGGGGAAGCCATCGCGTTGTGATCATTTCATAAAAAATACGACCCCCCCTAATTACATCCTCAAATATACGACCTCCCCCACCCCATGCTACCTTGCCTGTTTCATAGATTTCCCCAACTTCCTGTCACTTTACCATTTTTTTTCCCCAAAAAAATTCCAGTTTTTCAGCCAAGAGCCACCCAATGTATAATAGGAAAATTTCTCAGATTTTTTCTAACTTCCTACCAGTTCCTCCGAAGTTTCATTCTGGTGTTTCCCCCCAAAATTTTGTGCTGTCGCAGCGGGCGGGAGGAGCTTCGTCCAGGGTTTAGCTATCATTTTCACTTATCGGACATAGTAGTTGTATAGATCTTCGACAGTCCTTCTCCCAATGACGACCAAATACGGCCCTCCCTCCCTCGCGGTCAAATGCGACCCCCCCCCCCCGTTGTGATCATCACAACGATGGCGTGCCCTGAGTCCAGGGCAGGTGTAGGTATGCTGTGCGACTCACATAAAATTATGTCGAAGATGATATTCAGTTGGTTCAACAGGGGAAAACAGGGTATGAAGCTTGCGGAATTCCTCAGCTTTGAGAAGAACGTTTTGTGAGCGAGTTCAGAGCTAGTAGAAGTTATAGACACTTTCCGCGATAATCGAGTGGGCGGAGGACCACTACCCTTGTGCGTTATTCACTAGCTTGCTCTTTCTTTTGCTAGATTAGGAGCAGGGGCGTACAAATGAGAAAGGCACAATGGCTGTGTTCGCTTATTTCTCTGTTCATCCGATTCGAAATGTGTTTTTTTTTCAAAATTCTCCTTTCCATTCACAGTGGCTGGCTCTTTGTCTGTCCCTCTAAATATGTACATATCCTCTCGAAATTTTGTTTTGCTGATAAAGCTGCTGTTTTTGAGGCATTATTTGGATTTTTCAGCGTTTTGGTGTTCAGGATTTGATCCCTCATCGGCTAGACGACCGAGAACGGCGACAGATCGGTTACTACCAATGGGTTCCATTTGTGTTAGCCGTTGCCGCTCTGATGTTCCACATTCCATCATCGGTTTGGCGGATGCTCTCCAGTCAAAGCGGTTCGTCAGAATCATACTTTTGCTCATGCACTTACGAATTAGCGCCAGAGAATCCATCCTTTGCCGGGATTGTTTTGCTAACCAGTTTCAGGTCTTAACGCTGGTTTGGTGCTTCAGTTGGCGTGCCAAGAGCAGAATGTTGATCCATTGGTACGAAATAAGAACCATCGATATTTTAGCCAGGCATATAGGTGCGATTTCCTTTTGAAATGTTTTGCTTATTTCTTTCTTACACCTTTTTTAGTACTTTGGCGCTGCCAGAGGGATTCGATAGTTTCTTTCCTTTTTGATTATTCGACCATTCCAGATGATGCTTTGATGTATCAAAGAGAGCACGGAGCTCGAAAGAAGAATATCTACATTTTTGCCGTCGTTCGAGTAGGTAAGGGAGTGAGAAGGAGGTAAATATGAGGGAATGAGAATAATGCGCGGGCACCGGCCTGAGCCCTGAGGTGGTTTTTGAGTAGGAAAGCAGCAAGGAAGTAAATTGAGCTCTTCACCCTCCGTTCGTAGACAATCATCCTTCTACTTTTTTTAAAGTCAGTGACTCCCATTACATTTTGGAGTCTTGAGTTTGGCTTTACCCACTCGTCTTTTTGCATTGAAGACATGGGAGCAGATCGGCTTGGAGGGGCTAAAAATACTCAAAGAAGCCCGTACGGCTACCTCGTGAAGACCTGTGAGGTCTTGTAACCAGTGTGGTTCACTTTTACCATTTCGCAGCTTCACAAGAAATTACAAATTTCTCCACAGTAAGACTTGTTCATCAAGTCGTACTAGCAAAACGAACAAGCATAAGTGAAAACCCCCTCCCAAGCCAAAGAGCGCCAAGATGAACTTTTAAACGTCGCACGACTTCAACCTGGCTCCGAATCCCCATGAGATGTTTCTGACGCACTTCCGGGAAGCACACCTCGGTTCTTTACTGGTTTCGTACCTTGCCCTTTCGGGATAATCCTATACATGAAGGAAAAACTCAGAAGGTAGCACGGCGACTAAACACCGAACTTCATATAACTAAAAGATCGAGATCAATGGTAGAGGCCAACAGTTGTTCACAAGATTGATCTGTGGTTTCTGACGAACAACTATCTCACGAGACTGGAAAAAACTCTGCTCGGTCTCGTAGTCATTTTTTTAGTCCTATGGTAAGAATGTTTGACTGCCGGCTGAACTTTTTCTTCAGGGTAGAGTCTGAGCCTCTGGAGTGCGTGCGCTATTTCTCAAGAATTCTTTTACAGGCAAATTCTATGGAGCCTACGTGTCGACGGTCTTATGTGTTTATCAAATCACTTCATCTCTGCAATGTGATACTGCAATTTCTTTTGCTGAACTCGTTCCTCGAGACGGCCGAGTATCCGCTATTCGGCGCCCACGTTCTCTACGACTTGTTGCTAGTGAGTGAAGGAAATTTTTGACAGTGGCCGTGTGGCCGATTAACTACAACTTAAGAAAACAGCCGCAAATGCCAGGAGCACCCAAGTGGAAAGTGGTCGATTGCTGTCGCGTGTTTGAGCCAGCTATAACATCATGTTATGAATATCTCATTGGAAATCACGTAGTGTGCAGCGGCATGCTCCCGTTAGCATTTGATTCCTTATGCATTGCCAAAACATCCGGGACATTCTTGGGCGCCTCATGAGCTGCCATCATAGGCCCTGTCATCCCTTTTTTGATAAAAACACCTTAAATATGTATGAGGCGTAAGATAGGATGATCACCAGCCAGACATTTTCCCCTTGTAACCAACCAGCGGATGGTTTCAGCTCTCCATGGAACATTGAATGGCGACCTAAATAATTTCGTGGGTTTCGAAATAATGACTACTAAAGTTTGAAATCAGATCTGCTACCTGCACCTTCCAAGTAAGCAATGAGCACGGCATCGCATCGTGATGTGCGAAATGGTGGTGTTAGTGCGCCCCCTCCCTCGAAGAAAGATCTTCTTACGACTCTCCACCTGGGAGAGGGTCTCTGTACGACCCCATCTTTTCCCGACCACCAGCCTACCTACCACTTTCCTACGAGTTCCCATCTTTCTAGTTCCCCATATTCCCAGTTTTTCACCGCCGAGAGGAGGGGGGAGGTAAATAGCAAATAAATAAACGGGAAAACCGCGAAAATTCAAGGCAAAAGGCATTCAAGGCAAATATCTGTCAAAAGGACATACGATCCGCCTCTCCAGCAACGACGCAAATACGACTCCCCCCCCCCTCCCCAACGGTAAAGTACGACTCCCCAATATGTTTCACACAACGATGTTGTACAGTTTATGAGTGGCCACGGCTTGCAGAGATGCTAAGCTTTGGTGGCATATGAACATTTTAGTTGTGTAGAGACTCGCTCCCAGGTGTAATTTGACTCTCCTGAACCCGAATTTAATAAACATATAGAGCGGAAACGCTTGTCGTCCAGGTAGCAAGCCTATAACGAATATGGCGGCCTTTCATCGCCCAGGACTAACTTGGAAAATTCATGTAAAATTCATGTTTTGTCTTCATATTTGCAACCAACACTGTACTCCATCAACGTAGCGGGTCTCCGCTCAGAATTCTAGGGGGATAAGAAACCTTTTCTAGAAAGTTGTTGGAATTTGGAGGAATCGAAATTCGTCAGTCACTCAATAAAGGACATACTCGCGAGGGGAGACGGGCAGGAAGAATCGTAATTTAGGCGCGGCGTTTTCTTAACGCAAGTTGACCTGTCGACGGAGCACTGGACTTCATGTAGACCCGTCATCGCAGATATTCATGACTATCTCGGTACTGAATTGCCTGTTGTCGCCGTCTACTATCTGAAACACCGTCGTTTGCATGCGCGACGTGGCACGCGACGCCCGCCAGCGAGGTGAATTACGATTTTCTTGTCACGTACCCACTTGCGAGAATGAAAGCACCTACTAAAAACATCTGCTCTTTTATATTTGGGTTTTTCGGTAATTAAAACCCCATCAGCAACGCTAGACAAAGCAAGTAAAGGGGGATATAGAGGGTCTAATCGAAATGTTGAAAGTAATAAATAGCAACGTCATTGGCTTAGTGAATCAGGACTTATTACACAGCGCTACTGTATTGACCAAAAACGCATTCAAATCCTCCACGAAAGCTTAGCTGATGCCAAGTGCGCGGCCTACCTAGAGCCAGCAGTGGTCGATCGCATTTTCTTTCAATAGTCGTTTCCTCTCTGAACTCGGAGTGATTGCTAAGTATCGCTTAATACTCCCAATGAAAGCTTTCCTTTCCTAACTGCTCTTTTTTGCCGTATAGTAGGATGCGAAAGCTATGGTGTGGTAGCAGGAATGGGCAAAGCGTTGTCTCAGTTGGTACACGATCTTGGTCCTCATGCTTTTTGGATATATGTGCTCACCATCGCAGCAAGCGGGCATACCTAGGCTGAATTTCCTTGCTGAACATCATTCAGCACTTGCTCGAGGAAACACGATGTGTCCCTTTCCTAAAAGTTCTTTTTTTCTCCTACAAGGCACACACGCGGTCTCTCCCCAGGAAGATTTAGGGAAACTGTGCGGCAGCCAGGACATGCCATCGCGTTGTGATCATTTCCTGAAAAATACGACCCCCTCCCCATGCTACCTACCACTTTCCTAGATTTTCCCAACTTCCTACCACTTTTTCCATTTCTTCCCGAAAAACTTTCCAGTTTTTCAGCCAGGAAAATTTCTCGAATTTTCCCTAACCTCCTACCAGATTTAACCATTATTTTCAACTACCGGAAATAGTAGCTGTATGAATACGACCCCACCCCCCCCCCTTTATAGCGTCCGTGAAACAAGAGAAATCAACTATCAAAAAAATTTCCTCAGACCAAATACGACCCTCCCCCCTCCCTCGCGGTCAAATACGACCCCCCCCGTTGTGATCATCACAACGATGGCGTGCCCTGGCAACAGCACGCCAGGGTTCATCAATCCGTTGTGTAAAACGTGTAAAACAACGAGGGGGAGGTCGTATTTTGCCGTGAGGAATTTTGTTTCAACTTCTGGTTTTTCACGTTCCACGCGCGCTCTATGTACGTGCGCTGGAGGAGATTTTGGGGGAGGACAATGGAATTCAAAAAAATCACAACGAAAAAAACCACAGCGTGACTTTGTTCCCCACCCGTGAGACGTAGCCGTAGGAAGGACCCAGAGACGGTGGCATGAACCGAAAGTTGCATCTCATAAGAAGAACCCTTTCTTCTGGAATTTGTGAAATATCGGAAGAATCAAGATCTGCTCCTTTCAGGGAAGAGAATGGCGTGATTCCGGGAAGTTTCCCCGTGTGACTCTCTGTGATTTCGAGATAAGAGTGAGTTTTATGCTTTTCCTTTTTTTCTCAATGAATAGCGATTTTTTAAGAGATGCAAGCGTTCAGGTGCTGGGTAATGTTCATCGACATACAGTTCAGTGTGTTCTCGTGGTTAACATGCTCACCGAGAAGATTTTTATATTTCTGTGGATTTGGCTATCTGTGAGTTTTAGCAGCTCTTCTGTTCGGCACTGAAAAATTGCCAATTCCTTGTAAAATGTCAAGTTTTGCATTACATTTATTTTTTACATTCGTGCATAACCACACGATACGGTATTTGAAAGCATACTGTGCGGCATTACTCCAGGGTTCACCTGTCGACCTTTCGCATCGTCCTGAAATTGAATTTGACACTGTTTATTTTTGCCGTCTCTCTCTGATATTTCGGTCGTCCGAGTTTGTTTGGGGATAAATATTTTCCAGAGCAAATATTTTCCAGAGCATTAGGGGGCCTTATTTAGTCATGAATATGATTGGAGTGTCTATTCCAGTGTTAGAGCTTCTCGATGTTCTTCTGTACCAGAAGTAGCAAAGGAGAAAAAAAAGAGGGAGTCCCATCAGGGTACGGCATTGTTGTGAGAAGTCTATGGGGGGAAGGGGGAAGGGAGCGTATTTGGTCAATGGGGTGGTATCTCGTCATTACAGGTTTTGCTTCGAGTCGCGAGATACTTTTGGATGTTGCCTTTTCGCGGTTCTAACGGTTCCATTTGTAACCTGAACATGAAACACGTAAAAGAGGCGCCAAAAAATTTATTGTGTTCCATATTTCTCCCTCCTCGTCCCAGTTTTTGGAAAACGGTGGAAAAGAAGCTGGTAATGTTGAGAAGATTATAGGCAAGATGGGGAGGATATCGTGCCGGGGAGAGATTTTTTTCCTGGGAGGGAGCTAGTAGCGGAGGAATGGGGAGAAGTCCCTGTCGCTGCCATTTCTCTCATCCTGTTGTTGTACCCTGTCTCTTACTCCCAACTTTCTAATTTTATCAAGCTGCACCCTTTTTTTATTGACTGAGTCGATCTTACGTAGTAATCTGGTTATGTGCGCTCGCATCAGCTCATTGCCGTCAGAATTTCGTTGCCAAGCACCTCGACATGGAGTCTGATCAGATTGGACGATTCACCGACCGATTTCTTCGGCCGGATGGAGTGTTTCTTCTCCAAATGATAGCCAGCCATGCTGGCAATCTTACTTGTGCCAAGGTTTTTTTTCTTTTATGTCATTTCAGTCTTTGAGTAGTAACTGTTTAACTCTTTAGGTGACAGAAGCGCTTTGGCTGTTGTTTCTACGACGAAGTGGAAAGCCGGTATTGGACGAGAAAGTCGAGAGTTCCGAACGAGGAGAATGGGAGAGTGTGAGTGTAACTCCATTTAGGTCCGCCGCCTTAAAGACAGTTGGCACGATAAATCCCCAAAGACGAGTAGGATTAATACGCCTGGCAGGACGGAATTCCGCGCCCCTGAGCAGGCGCTGCGTAGCGCCTTTCCAAGGAGGTGCCCTTATAAGGCCCTATCAAGCTGCAACATACCGACCCGGACGCCCACAAATGGACGACCGTACCTGATGCTCGTATTGCTTCATTTGCGAAGTAAAATATGAAGCGAAGGGATTGGTATGAAGCGGCCGCGATGCTGCATGGATATATGAGTACCATATGCAGCCGTATCTTCGGTAGCGGTTATTGGCAAGATGCCTACGGGAAACTCGTCCAAAATTGATTTTCAACTCATTAAACGAAGGCTTTTTCTTCGCAGGATTTTGACCGTTTCACTCCGTTCTTTCGCCATTTTCCCACTATATAGCGCCCTGCTAGCATTTTAAGCCGAGTACCAAATTATCGTGCCATTGCCTTTAATGTCCTGCTTTCTTTGTGGAGCGCTCTTCGGATTGGAAGTTGAAAGGAAATCGGCAATTCAAGTCTAATAAATATTTCGCTATGACTTTCTTCCGCTCTCGAATGACATGAAAATAATGATCGCATTAGGTAAAGCAATTGAACTTTGAGTATCCAGTTTGTGTAGGCCATGCTTAGAACTCAGACCCCCGCCCCCCACGTGGTCTTA